CCGATGGTTTTACCAAGACGTCACCTCCATCAACATCGTCATCCACCACTAGAATGCCTAGAATTTGCGCCAAGGTGACCGGAAAACATACGGTTTAGGGGCAAGTAATTGTGTAGGCTAATGTGAGAAACTGCCCACCGTATCATATATGATACGAATATGTTGTTATCATTCCTGACACGCCAGCTTTGGCGCAAGAATGAATTCAACCACCTGGTGTGTGAGCTTGAACATTTGGTACTATGCTGCCACAAAATTGAGCAGTTTGGCAGAAAGCACTAGTTAGCATACTAACGTCGGCATTATTGGGTTTGGTAAATTACGACTTCTGTGGGCAGCTGTTTTTGTTTAATCATGCTACACGGAAAATATATGAAATATAGAAAAGGTTACCCACTCTAGAAATAGTACACACGACTGACAACACAACATCACAAAATAAAGTTTCGGCGTCTTTCGGATGGAAGTCGGTTGCCTAGCAACGGTCGAGCGACTCATCGTATCATAAATGATACGATGGGCAGATCTGGGTTAACCCGCGCCGTGCTGGGGGGGGGCGTTTTTACGCCCCCCCCTCAGGTTTTCGCGAATATCTCAAAAACGGCTGCGCGCAGCGCCGCCGTTTTTGGTACACGTGTTTCTACATCATTTCCGCACATGTTGTGAAAATTTCAGACCTAGGCCGTTCAAGGTCAGGTCACCAGGTCACGTCAAGTGACCTTACCTCAGAAAAAGTTCAAAGGCTCGCTATAGCTACACCGACTGAACGATCACTTTGAAACTTTCAGCGATTGATATGAGTAACAGTATGTATAAAATGTATATCTCGGATTTTTGATATCTGTGACCTAAGGTCAGGTCAATTTTGCGACCTCTCCATTATAAGTCAATGGGAGAAAATTGAAATGCGCCTCTTTTGGACGAATATCGTTCAAAACGCTCTCAAACATCGGTTCATAGGTAAACATGACACACTGAATAGGAAAAATGCACCTGTGACCCCTCTGTGTGCCCCTGAGGTCATCTCAGGTCATGAACGGTCGCCAGCAGTTTTTTGGCTATAACTTTTGATAGAGACGTGCTAGAGCGGTGAAAACACGTCAGATGTGTTCAGCTCGACGATACGGATCGACTGATATGCAACATGACCCTTTTCGGTCAGGTCATGACCTTGACCTGAGGTCAAATTTTCAAAATGACCTTTCAAGGTCAACAAATAGTTCATTCGACGCGTCTCGACGAGAGGAACACGATGCTGGCAAAAGTAATGTCATGGCGCTTATGAGTCAAAAGTTATTGACGAAAAAACGTTTTTCGTAAAAACGGCTATTTTTGGAGTTTTTGCCCTCTGGAGGCTAAACCGTTGACCTGAGGTCAAATCTGAGAACATTATTCAGAAAGGTCTGTAAAAGGGCTATCGAATGCGCTTTTCTGCGGCGCTGTAGCTCTATCGGTTCCCGAGATAGCCGTTGGCAGTTTCCAAAATGTTGAAATAGTCAACATTTTACCTTTGGTGACCTCTGGTGACCTGACCTTTGACCTGACCCAAAAAATGACCGAAGTGTTTTCGTCCTTATTTTTGACGCTCTTTCGATTGCCGCTTACCGCGTGTCGCTACGTGGCCCAGGAGCCGAGTTAGACGGGGGGGGCGTGAAAACGCCCCCCCCCCCCCCAGCACTCGGCGGAAAGTTCAGGCCACCAGCACGGCGCGGGTTAACATACCTGGCGCTTGATTCAAGCCAGGTCTTTCGACACCAACTGCATTTTCGGGTCAGGTCAGGTCACTGACCTTTGACTTCATAAGTCAACCTCTGCACGGTCTTCAGATGTCGCAACTTCGCAACGCCCTCACTGCCAGAGGAGCTTTCACAGGGAAATGAAAGTTGCAGGATCTAGTATCCATTACGAGTCTCACAACTTGTATATCTCGGTTTTTTCCTTTTGGGTCATACGAGGTCAGGTCATTTTCGTGACCTCACCATTATAAGTCAATGGGGAAAAATAAAAAAAAACTGTTATTCCTGCGCCGAGAACGATCTCCAGCTATCACAAGCACACAGAATCGTAATTTAATGCACTCCTTGCAAGGTTAGATGCGTCACTTTTGCAATTCTAACCTTGCGTGACGTCATTAATGACGTCATTAGGGTCATATTAGTTTTTCGTCAATAACTCCCAATCAAATTGAGCTAGCGAGTCGGGAAAGCCACCAATGGACTCAGGCAGACCTGCCAAATCAAATGATATGCAACATGACCTCCTCCGACGAATTTCGTGACCTGGGGCGCTGACCTGACCGTGACCTAAGGTCAACACCCTAAGTTGATCTCACCCAAATTCAACTCTTAGAGAGGGTCCGTCATTAAAACAAAGGGTAAATACCGCCCAGTTTTCGGCCCTAAGCAGACCCTATCAGCTCGCCCTATCTCTGAACTCATGCATAGTTTCGCCTCAACCGGTAAAACGTCAGAAAAAGGTATAATGTACGCACAGGGCATGTATACTTAGCCACCTGTGCTTCGAGGTCCTGAGGACGACAGCGGGAATCGGGTGACAATAAATCAAGAGAGGTGGCCGAGAGTCCTCCCAGTGGTTCTTCCGCTCGTCGCAACGCAGCTGTGCCGACACCATCAGCCAGCAGTGGTTTCAGCAGGATGGAGACTATGCTTGCACCGTCCTGAAGATCATGCATTGTCTCCGAGAGTGGATGTGAGATCCCGTAATTTTCAGTCAGGGCAACGCCATTGAATGGCCTCCGCGGTCACCTGACGTTACACCTTCATATTTTTATTCTCTGGATACACAACAGAAAGATTGTCTTTTAGGACAACCCAACGAGCCGGGAAGAACTAAAGGATGATCCCTTCGAGCAAACCTAGGCGGCATCTCACCAGAGAATCGCTCCAGAATAGTGGAGGAAGTCAAACGTAGTCTATTCATGCACGCGGCCCGAAATGGTAGCCATGTAGAAAAGCAGCAAATGTGGGGCTACGAGCCAATGTATTGACTCATATATGTCAGAATAAAATTTTATAAAATGCTCTTTCATATGATGTCCTATTTATATCTATCCATCGCGTATTTTTGGCAGTGTGGCCAAAACAAATGATGACCTTACTTTTGGGACACCCTGTATATATATGTTTCGATGCGGATCGACGAGATCGACAACGAGATCACGATGGTGCTATTAGTTTGTCCCTAGCTTGGCTACTTCGAAATTTATTCGAGAAAAACTCTATTTATCTAGTGCCGCTATTTTGACTTTTGGTCCATTTTTGACCTGAACTGAAAATGACCTCAGTGAAAAGTGTAGACCTTGTCCGTGTGTGCCCTATGTCGTTTACCGCTTGTCGCTATCTTACTTCGTTCTCAAGGTCGCGGGGGCGGATATCCACCCCCCGGCCCTCCCGTCGGTGCTAAGTTGGCGCGGACCCACGTCGGTGCGCGGGAAAGGGTCCTATAACCTATCTAATGTTAATTCAATCACGGGGTACACGGTAACCCCTCAGATATTTACGAAAACAACTGGTTAGAGAGATTTCACGGTCCTGATTACGAATACCGGCTGGGCTGAGCCCTAAAATATAAAGGATCGAGAAGGATCGATGGGCTGTGGATGAGCTGGGCCAAGGACTGTAAAGTAGAGTCAGGGGTTCGCGGCTGAGACAAAGCTGGGGCATAAACTTCTCTGTCGGTGGGGATAGAGGGTAGCGGGGAGGGGGGAAGAAAGGGTTACGTCGGCGCCGACGATTGGCTGTTTTGCCACGGGCTTTCCGTGCGCAGCCGCCAGCCGGCGCCACCGTCGGAAGGCCGGCCATGCTGACCGACAGAGGCGTCGCCAGGTGAGAAGCAGTGGAGAGTCGTTCAGCCGACGCTGGACCTGAGGGTGTAACGCTCTTATGGTAGGTGAATACCACCGCTGAAAGTTTTGCAGCATGTTGCAAGGGCTCAGAAAGTCGTATTCTAATGAAGAAACGAATGAGCCTATGTTTTGAGCCTAACATAGTTACAGGTAACGCAGATTAATGAAACTTTGGTCACATATTTTGCCAGTATTTAATGTGACAAGTTTGAATGTGTTATCGTCAGTATGTAATAACACAGAAGCTATGCCCAACTAATCATTACTTATTGAACGACCTAATAATAAAGATCTCAACGTAACTGAATAGACCTCACCCGACCCATGTTGCAAATACAGGGCCCGGCGAAAGTTTAGTCCTCTTCCTATGACAACAGTTAAAAACCATAACTTGACATCGCTTACTACTGTGCAAGACTCAAAAACGAGTAAAGCACGTTTGCAATGTCCATTGTGCATGCTGATCGCGAAAGATTGTTTCTTTGCCACCTTTGGATACCTGTGTGGTGTCAATAATTTCTGTGGAGTGGTGTGGTATCAACCATTCATTTTTGACCGGCTGGGCCAGACTGGGCTTTGACGCTAATACCATGAATGGGCTCGGGCTGGGCCGGGCTGTGAACCCATGGGCCTGGGCTGGGCTGGACTGGGATATTGCGGCCCGTGGCAGACACTGCTCTGCACCACAAGTCATAAGTTTTATGCCAATTCATTAACTTTTTGAAGGTGGGAGGGCCCCTTTCAGTCTTGAAATTATTCTGTGAATGAGAGAGTACGTTACAATTTGAACTATTGCAGTTTAGCACACCTTTTATTTTATTTTATTTTTTTTTTTTGACAATAAGATATATGAAATCTACATTTTTGCTAACCACATACCGTCGAGAAAACAATGGGTACCGCACATAATCATACTCGGAGGCGCCGAAGTGACAGGCACATGAGCGGCGCCGGGCGCTACCAAGTCCGAACAGAGCCGTTGGAGAGAGAAGGGGGGGGGGGTAATTGCCCGTGACCAAGCTGACATACAGGCAACGCTAATTAAGACGGCTGGTAATGTGTAGGTATGGGTTTTACGTCACACCACCCGGACTGGTGGCCGGACCAGTATTTGTATCGTCCACGCCTCTGGTGTGCCGGTGGCACTGTCCGGACCGGTGGGAAAGTGACCCCGCGCCAGACATCGCCGCCGGTCACCACCCAGCCGGGAGACCGGTATAAATAGGCAACGCCACAGCTGCACGGCACAGTGACACTCAAACAGCCTCAGCCATGAACAAGGTGAGCCTAGCCTACCTTGGTGGCAGTTCGACAATGTCAGCCACCTTTGCAGTAGAGTGCACATGGGGTTTTCAATTCAACGTAATAGAATATGTTTGGCAGTAATAAGTGCATAGTGCACAATTCTTTATTGAAACATCACTCATTCAAAACTCGGTAACGAAAACGTATATTCGGACGCGATTGTTTAGTGGTCAGAAAATATGTTTGTGACCACTGTGCATGCATTAGCCCTAATTATTCAGAGATTGCTTTAACGCCCACTTCAATCGCTCAATAAATGAAATAAATGCCTAGCAGTTTTGTAGACTTCTTTTCTAACACAGCTTTGTCTGCTTTTTCTCGCAGTGGATCGCTCTGGCGCTGCTGGCCTGTGTGGCCGCCGTCTGTGCCGAGGAGACCCCGGCCGCCGAGAACCAGGACCTCGAGCAGGAGGAGTCCATCGTTCACGGGTAAGACACTCAAGGCCACCGCACACTATCCATTCGGCCGGTTCATTCGGTCGTTACAGCGGCGATTTTCTCGCGCAAGTGTCTATATTGGCCGAATGGCCGAATCGCTTAGAGCAGAAATATCGTCGTTGAAATATCGCCTAAACTGTTGTAACCGAATTCCAAGAGCGCAAGTAATGAATGTTTTATAATGAATATTGGAAAAGACCAAATAGAATCCAGCTTCATATATTTAGTGCATCGTTCAAAAAAGAAACAAAATTATAGGTTAATTGCAGTTTGAGTAGGTAGCTTGCTTGATAATGAAAACAAATTGGCTGTTAACCCGCGCCCCACTGGGGGGGGGCTATTTATAGCCCCCCCTCCCGTTTTTCTGCAATAACTTCCAAACCGCTTGACGTATCGACGCCAAACTTTCAGTACCTTCGGCTGCATCAATTTGACACCTTGTGTCAAAATTTGAACTTCGTAGCTACCATAGGTCGGCCGGAAATGACGTCAGAGTGACGTCATGTTCGTCCGATTTCGACGCAAAACATTGAACCACGGCAATCGCTCCCAAGAGCTCAGTTTTTAAGCCAGATCCAATTTCTTTGCATGAAAGGACTCAGAATTGACCGCGCTATCAAACTGCTATCTCGGATTTTCAAAATTTTGAAAATTTCGAAAATTGTATATAATAATATTCAAAATTTATATTTTTATATTTTTTTTCAAAAAGTTTTTGACTTTTCGAAAAAACCGGAATATATGTGACAGAACGCATGATTATGACTAACTCTAGCAAGTTTTAGCTAAATATCTTCAAAAATGGCCAAGTTATACGCATTATTGCAAAAAAATTCACAATTATTAATTTTTCAAATCACCTTTTCAGTACGTATTTGACATCGTACACCAATAATCACATATGCAATTGACAAAATACACAACACAGATATTCATTCGAATACTTACTTCATTTCCATCGCAAACAACTCCACACCACACGAGCCCCTCACATCGAAAATGATTGGAATGTAAACAACACTTGTCAAGGTTGTATGAAAACAATATGGCGGCTGTTGATTTTCGGCCGCTAAATGACTGCTTCGGCGAGAAAAGTTCAACCGGTCGAACTTTTTTTCGGTCGTCGCGTGAACATCGCTTGGGCCGAATGCCTGAATAATATGGGCCGAATGCACCGTCGTTGGTTCGTTGTTTCGGCCGATATAAAGACTCGCGCGAGAAAATCGCTGCTGTAACGGCCGAATGAACCGGCCGAATGGCTAGTGTGCGGAGGCCTTCAGACAGCTTCAGCGTGAAATCATGTAAAACGGAAAATGAGCTGAAAAAAATGTCTCAGAAAATCTAGTAGAGCATTAGCAAGGAAGTGCTTACTCCTCGATGGATCGATCAGATGTTTATCTTCTGATTGTACTCAGATGGCGCTCTCACTCTGTTCTCACTCTCTATTACACACAGTAACCTATGATTCATATGGTATTGAAAAATGACGATTAAAATAACATGAGCTTCTTTAGTGAAATGCTATTGTGGTAAAAGCGCTTGCGTATAGGTAATATAGCGACGTAATTGAAGTTTTATGCATATATTAGAACTGTAAATAGCTATTCAATCGTCTATGATGAAAGCTGTAAGTAAGGGGGGTCGTCTTAGCATGTCAAACAGTCAAAAGGAAACCATTTCCTACATGCATGCATGCATGCTTGTAACATTCTCTGACTTTGATGCTATTGTGCTTCGCTAACATGTCGGCATTATTGCTCAAATCGGGATCAAATAGAAAGCAAATGCAAAAACAAATATAATTTAATGCATTTCAATGACTTTCTTTTTTGACCATTTCAGATACGGCCTTGGAGGCTACGGCGGCTACGGCTATGGCCTCGGAGGCTACGGAGGTTATGGCTATGGCCGTGGTCTGATCGGCTATGGCGGCTACGGCCTCGGAGGCTATGGCGGATACGGCTATGGCCGCGGTCTGGGAGGCTACGGTCTGGTTGGCATTGGCGGAGGATACGGCGGCTACGGACTCGGATATGGGTAAGATATAGAAGGGAGAGAGAGAGAGAGAGAGAGAGAGAGAGAGAGAGAGAGAGAGAGAGAGAGAGAGAGAGAGAGAGAGAGAGAGAGAGAGAGGGAGAGAGAGGGAGGGAGGGAGGGAGGGAAGGAGGGAGGGAGAGAGGGGAAGGAGGGAAAAGGAGGGAAAAGGAGATAGGGAGAGAAACAGAGCTAAAACAATGCAGTGGCATGTTTCGTGCTATGGTCATAAAAGTGACTCTTATTTCCTACAACAGAATTTCACTTTGTATTGTTACTTTCGATCTATGCCTTTGGAAAGGGTTATTTTACCTAGCTAAGCGGGCCGCCACCCCGTGTGACTTACGCCACGCTGCCTGTGTTTCAGTTACGGCGGCCTGCACTAAGGGGCTGCGGCCGTGCTGCAGCTGTCCATCCCGCTGGCCTCAACCTCCAGCAGAGGCTCCTCTCAGGTTTCTCAGGAATGGGTGTGGTGTTTCGATGTGTCACGAAACACCCGACATCAAATGATGCTTTTGGTGACATTTACAACTTGTGTTCCTGCGATAGGTTGTTCATGTGAATCGTTTGGCGGATGTAAATGTTAAATTACCGGCCGATATCTCGCATACCTGTTCTGGGGAATGAATTGAATGCACCACCCATGCAATGTTAGTTACGAATTTACCGTTTAGTGTTCCTCTGGTATTAAGTGTTTTAAATAAACCAGAAGTGGTGTTATCTGTTATGTTTCTCTTGTGAGTGAAGTTATTATTGGTACACTGTACAGTGTACAGATCCCAGCACTTGCTACCAGTCACCTCGTTTTCGGTCACGATTTTGAAGACTGGTCCATTCTCGCATCAATTTTACAGCTTGTGTTAAAACTTCAACTTTCTAGTTTCCATAGTTTGGCCAGAAATGACGTCAGAGTGACGTCATGTCGGCCGATTTTGATGCAAATTATTGAAATACGGCAAACGCTCTCAAGAGCTTAGTTTTAAAGCCAGATCCAATTTCTTTACATCAATGGACAATGCATACACGTAGCTATCATACTGCAATCTCGAATTTTCGAAATAATGAAAATTTTGAAAAAAAAAATTGTTTTTACAATTTAAAAAAATATATTAATTGATTTTTTCAAAAGAATTTGGATTTTTTGCAAAAACCGGAATATATATGATAGAGCACACACTGATGAACTACTCTAGCAAGTTTTAGCGCAAGATCTTCAAAAATAGCCAAGTTATTTGCATTATTGTCAAAATTTTACAATTATATAATTTTCCAAACCATTTTTTAGTACGTTTTTGACATCAAACAGCAATATACATGGCACCATCGTGTTGCTGAGCTTAAACTGCATCTGATACGCACCTTATTCGTCGAAAAAAAAATCATTTTCAAAATTTGACCTTTTCTGACCTGAAATTGACCTAACCTCCGGTACATTCAGCTGAAAATGACCTCAAATGACACAGACGACATTATTTTCGAAATCTACGTGTAAAATTGACCATAAAATATGCGTCACGTGACCGATACATGGTATACAAATTTCGTGACCTAGGATGACCTGGCCTTGACCTGACAAATTTGAAGTAAGAGTTCGGTGCCATCAGGATATCTAAGGCATATATCAAGCAGTGCGTACACCAAAAATGAGCTTGATCGGACTTGTCAGCCGGCGGCCAGAGCCTAAATTGTAAACAAGCAAAATGCCAATAATTTTTATTTTGACCTGACCTGTGACGTCATCGGTAACCTCGAGGTCAGTGAAAGTAGGTTTCGCTCGACAGTTTTTCTAGGGCTATTAGACACCGTTTTAATTTTGACGATCGGCCCAGTAGTTTCGGAGATAAGAGGGGGGAGCCCCCCCCCCCTCAGTCACTCGCGTTATGGAAAATACCCCAGTCATGCGCGGGTTAACGCTCTTTCCAAAATGTGCCCTCAGAATTGACCTAAGATCGCAGTTTAGAAGTTTAGCTTCCAGATTGCAATAACTGTATAAAAAGCTGTTGTTACGAAAATATTTTTCGATGATAACTTTTGACCCAAATAAAGCACGACATCTATTTTGCCGGCAACGTGTTCCTCTCGTTGGGACTAGTCGAATGAACTATAATTTGACCTTTTGGTTGGGCGGTTGGGCCGTGCGTGCTGGGGTCGGCGGAATGGGGTGTGCCTGGTCCTGTCTGGAAGCAAGCCCTGGAAGCCCTCTACAACGCTTCGCTTGTTGCGAAAGTTGGGAGGGTGGAAAGAGGAAGAAAAAAAAGAGAGATGGAAAGACATGGAGAAAGAGGGAAAAGGGGGGCGAGAATAACCCGGTTTACATAGCATTTTTGACGAGGCTCTAGCTTGTTAATTTGGCGATAATTTCGATGCAGTGGTCTTCAAATATTTAGAGGGGACCATTTTGTAAATTGTTAAGCACCATTGGCATCTTTTGCAACATCACGGACAGAGATATAAGCTTGCAACAAACCCTATGTAAACCGGGTTAACGAGAGAAAAAAAGGGGGAGAAGGGAGAATAGGAATGAGAGAGAGAAAAAAAAAGCCGGAGGGAAAAGTGATAGAGATAGTGAAACAGAAGTAAAAGAGCAGAAAAAGGGCAGGACTAAGGCGAAGCGAGAGACAAGAGAGAGAGAGAGAGAGAGAGAGAGAGAGAGAGAGAGAGAGAGAGAGAGAGAGAGAGGAGAGAGAGAGAGAGAGAGAGAGAGAGAGAGGGAGAGAGAGAGAGAGAGAGAGAGAGGAGAGAGAGAGAGAGAGAGAGAGAGAGAGAGAGAGAGAGAGAGAGAGAGAGAGAGAAAAAAAAGGGGTGTTGGTGTATGCATGACAGGGCACAAAAGGAAAGTAAGGGAGGTACATATAAGGACGGTGTGATGGACAGGAAGAGAAACCGGAAAAGAAAAAACAGCGGTAAAGAAGGATTTGAAAGGTAGCGAGATGAAACCCAAAAGAGGAAAAGCGAAATGGAATATAACGCAAACATTTAAACATCCTGGGCTTCCCAAACCAAATGATTCTAAGACGAAAAGAGCCGAGGCGTAATGCTATTTTGTGCTGCTATAACTTGCAATTAAACTCAACAAGTTATCACGGATAGCCCACGTCTTCTTTTCTACCGTTATAGTATCTCAATAGATATTATTAATTGCATCGTTCTCCCGTATTTGTTAACACTCATCGATGCTTCCTCAGCGTAAAGTACAGGTCTCGCGAGATTAAGCGGTAGGTTTTGCACTTTTACGTTTCCGGTTATATCTCAGAAACTAATCGATCTACGATGAAGCTATTTTACACGATCATGGCCGGCTTGTTACCCAACAAGTTGATCGCATCTTCAACACTTAGAAGCTTAAGACGACGAAGATATAGCCTAAAGTACACTAAATTTTCTAGGTGCAAAACCTACCGTTAAAACCCGCGAGACCTGCCTACATATCTGAAACCCAATAACCACTACATCAACTCATTCTTTGTCGACGATGAATGAGACATGCCGGCTTTCAAACGCCGCCTCGCGGGGCGGCTCGACACGTCTCGATACGATATTGGTTCCCAAGATGACAAAGGGGTGGATCCGTACCCCCCCCCCCCCGCTGTCGTGGGTAGAGGAATAGCTTATAGCCCAGGCGGTGCCGGGTTAAGTCTCACAGCCGCTTAGCTCCGTCTTAGGAGATGAATCGGTGAGTGGTAAGGCACTGCGTTCTAACAGGTTTGAAAAAGTTGCAGCGAAGCTCCCGTACTAGTTAGCCAGCTCCTGACAACTAGCGCATGTCTAGATCCAAGACCGTGTGGCTGCTACCGTTGCGCCGCGGTAACACTTGCTGACCTGAGCGGCCGAAACGCACACCTTGACCTGTGCCAGTAGGTAGCTATTGCAAGCAGAGCAGCACCATAGCAGGATGAACCCAATAAAAGTTACGCTGCACCATTTGTTGTGCAGGGTTTAGACTCTAAACCCTGCACAGCAAATGGTGCAGGGTTTAAAAAAAAACTCCGGAACCTGGCAAAGAGCCTCTAAACTTTAGAGGCTCTTTGCCAGGTTCCGGAGTCCCTCCAAGCAACAAAGAAAGCTCCTTTCCTTCCTACTATATCCCTCGCATGTGTGCGGCGTTTTCCAGCTTCTAATGTTTAGGGGGGGGGGGGGTCGGTTGGACCCCCCCTTGCCGTTTGGCCCCTGATCGAGCTAGAGCTTCGCGGAAAAAACGAGCGTGTTGCCCGTGACGAGAGGAAGCCGATGATACCCAATTTTAACCCTCGCCCGCACATGGGGGGGGGGTGGTTGCCACCCCCCCCAGGTAGTCTTTTTGCTCTGCACTCAACATTTTTAGAGCTAGAAGGCTGATTTTTCGTATAGCTGCTCCTCTATCCTTTCTTGATGTCCACTGAAAATTTCAAGTTTCTGTGATTTTTGGTTTCGGAGATATGACCTTGTTTTTCAGGTCATGTCATGACCCAAATGGCCAATTCTCAACATCTTGCGCTGGCTATGGGCCTTGTGAGCTTTTGACACCTTGATTTCGGCCTTTTTTGCCAGTCTTACCTCCCAACTATCATGGAACATGTTGTTCGACGATGTACAGATGTCAAGGTCAAGGTCAAGGTCAACCTAGGTCATCTAAGATAATTGCGTTTTAGGCAAGCTGAATTTACTTTTTGTGAAGTTTTTTTACTGCATTTTTCGTAATAGCTTCTCAGATCATGATTTCATGTAATATGGACACAAAAACAATCGGTGCACACATCAGTATACACACAGACACACACAGACATACAAACACACATAATTGACCTTGACCTAACTTGACCTGACATGACCTCAGCAGCAAAAATCTGGTCGGGTAGTGTGACAAAGAGGTTCTAGCTGGCTTGGCACCAGAAAACAGCATCGTCATCGGTATATGGTAAGCAGCGCACTTGATATCCAACGGTGACCCAAAACAGCAACATTTTTTAGTTTGACCTGACCTGGAAGGTCAATGACTGACCTGAGAAGGTAAAACTGGGTATCATTGGATTCGTCTCTTCCCAAAGAATCTTTTTGGTCTTTACCGCTAAGCTCTATCTCCAACAGGAACGAAATGGCGCGGGGGGGGGGTGGCAACCACCCCCCCCCCCCCATGTGCGTTCTAGGATGGGAAAATGGCATGTGCGGGCGAGGGTTAAGGTCCTAGGTCATTAGTTGACCTTCCAGGTCAGGTCAATGACTCAAGGTCGGGAAAATCGGGACCTGTTAGAAAGTCGTAAAGTGTGGCTGCTAAGGGGTTTTTCGGGGTGCTGATCACGAATATCGTGTTAGTTTTGATCACAGATGATGTCTTTAAGCATTTAGACCAGGTCGGGTCAGGTCAGGTCAGGTCAACCAGTAGGCGTCGTGACGGGTATTAGTATTACGTGTCAACCGCCTCTGACAGCTTCGTAACATGTTACGAAGTCACCAAAACTACTTCGTAAATGTTCAAATGGTTGCTAAATTCGAATTCAGCTCCAAAAACTAGCCTAGAAACATGTAAAACTCGAAAAAGTGAACCGAGGTCACCAAAGGTCAATGACCTGACCTTACCTTCAGGTGACCTTGACACCCACCCTAATGCATGGGAGCAACATCAAATCACATGTTTGAACGTTTGAAACCACGAAAAGCTTGCAAACGCGCGGCTAATGCGAGCCGACATACGCGGAATCGCGATTCCGGCCAAACATGGTCTCGGAAAAGAGGTCACAGGTCAAAGGTCATTGGGGTCAGGGTCATGAAATTTTCAGGGTAGGTGTACAATTGATAAATGCGAGGGTACTGAAAGTTTCGTGGCGATCGGCCGCTTTTTACGCGAGTTATTCGCGAAAAACCATGGGGGGTCCATCCGACCCCCCCCCCCCCTCCCCTACACATGCGAGGGATATAAACATGTTGTGTGTTGCTTTGACCAAGGTACTAGTAGAAGGTAAGAAAAAGGCTGAGTCGGTGTTTACGTCACAAAGTCTAAAGGGGCATTCAAATGCATCAGTCCCTCAGAATTTGAGCGCTGCAGACTTTGAAATACAATTATTTCCGAATTAAGGATTTTCTCGATGTTGCGAGTGCTCAAACCAGTATTTGGGAGTCAGGGACCCCAACTTGACTGTCTCAGCTCAAAACTAATTCTAAGGCAGGATGGCCACTTTAACCATCGCCAGCACAGGGGGGGGGAGACACACACCCCCCCCCCCCTGTTTTTCGCGCATAACTCGCGCAAAAAGCGGCTGATTGCCACGAAACTTTTCGTACCCTCGCGATGACTAATTTTACACCTACCCTAAAAATTTCATTATCCTGACCCAAATGACCTTTGACCTGTGGGCTGTGACCTAATTTTCGAGACCATGTTTGGCCGAAATCGTGATTCGGTGTACCTATGTCAGCGCGCATTAGCCGCGCGTTTGCAGTCTTTTCGTGGTTTCAAGCCTTCAAACATGTCAGTTGATGTTGCTCCCATGCATTAGGATGGATGTCAAGGTCACCTGAAGGCTGAAGGTCTAGTCAGGTCATTGACCTTTGATGACCTTGGGACGCTTTTTTCGAGTTTTTTATGTTTCTAGGCTAGTTTTTGGAGCTGAATTCGAATTTAGCAACCATTTTATCATTTAGGAAGTAGTTTTCGGTGCGTTCGTATACCATGCTACGAAGCTGTCAGAGGCGGTTGACACGTACTACGAATACCCGGCAAGACCCGTACTGACTACTGGTTGACCTGACCTGACCTGACCCGACCTGGTCTACATGCACAAAGAAATCATCTTTGATCAAAACGAACATGATATTCGTGATCATCACCCCGAAAAACCCCATAGCAGCCACACTTTACGACGTTCTAACAGGTCCCGATTTTCCCGACTTTTGGGTCATTGACCTGACCTGGAAGGTCAACCGATGACCTAGGAGCTTAAATCATCGGCATCCTCTCGTCACGGGCAACAAGCTCGTTTTTTCCGCGAAGCTCTAGCTCATTCAGGGGCCTAAGGCGAGGGGGTCGTATACCCCCCCCCCCCTCCTTGTGCCGTCGAAGGACGCAAAATGGCCTCTGCCGGCGAGGGTTTAGTTTGTACTGAAGATGGTGTAACTTGATCTCAAGGATGAAACTTGTTTTGTTTGTTTTTTTCGCTGCTGAGATCATTTGATATCATCGGCATCGTCGGTCAATGATTTTCGACGACAATGGGATTATGCGTCGGGAAAGTTCCAAAAAACGTATTCACTCTGACGCGTTCAGCTCTTTAGTCAAATAGCCTACATTCGCTACTATCTCGTGTGCAAGAACGAACATTGTAAAGTTGAAGGTCAATTGTCATTCAGGTAGGCATACTCGATAATTCGCACCCATATTGTTCTCCATATTCCATGAAGAAAGAAGTTGTCTTTCAGGTAATAGGTATTTATTTACAGCTTAACACATTCAAATAACGCTGGTCGACGCGGCGGCCACAGGAAGCTCGCCTCAATGCTCGATGTTTCCGAACACCCGTTGGGGTTACTGACAATACCACTATTGGAATTACCAGTTCAAAACCAAATATGCTTGTGCAGACACATTTTGTGGACCCACTGGTGGGGTGGATCTTCTGGTTGAAAGACTGGCCCTTAGTGTTCTTATCGCGCCACATTCTGTTTGTCAGCGAGGCAGTTCCAGCGACGCCGGCGGTCGCCATCAGAGCATTTAGTGATATCCGTAACCACCATATCTGAAACAAAAACAGAAATAACTTATTTGGTACACATTTCTGCAGATGCCATTAGCGATACCGGAAAAGGCGTCAGAATAGGGCAAATCTTACCGACAAATTAAAACAAAACGTCACGACATATGTAAATGGACCTGAGTCTTACAACAAAATCCACCAGCATCACATCTACTAACAACTGATTGAAAATCTCTGATGACATACATATATGCCAATATTGCGATTATCTTGTCAAAATGTCAGCTACACGAAAGTGTCGCGACAAAGATTCGGTAGACGGAAGTAATGCAAGCATTAGGGGCGTAACCTAGGGGTACACTAAGTCATTGTGAATTTGTAGTTAAAATAATTTCTGAGTTGCTTACCCGTAGCCACCATAGCCGTAGCCGAGTCCATAGCCTCCGTAGCCACGGCCATAGCCGTAGCCGCGGCCATAGCCGTATCCGCCATAGCCTCCGAGGCCGTAGCCACCATAGCCGATCAGACCACGGCCGTAGCCATAGCCTCCGTAGCCCCGGCCGTAGCCGTAGCCGCCGTAGCCTCCGAGACCATAGCCGTAGCCTCCGTAGCCTCCTAGGCGGTAGCCCCTGTAGCCAGCGTAGCCGCGGCCGTATCCGTAGCCTCCGTAGCCTCCGTAGCCTCCGTAGCCCAGACCGTATCTGAAGTGACGAAAAGCACGGCATTAGCTTTGTCGGGTAATGACTCCAACGACTATACAACGTGCTGAGTATACGTGGAGCATCCACGCCGAAATGCAAGGAGGTCAGCCCACTTCAGTGTTTGCGGAATTTCTTTGAATCTTTTGGGTGAATGAACTGATATCAGTTTCATTGCTTTGTTACTGGTGGGCACTAGAAATAGCACATGTGTGATTGCATTCAAGGACCATGGTCAATGATCATTGTAATTTTTTATTGTTGACTTTCAAAGGCTCCTAAGAGGTGATCGTTGAAAACGATTCTTTTAAAAATTTACAAGCATAGGCATTATATTTGTAAAGAGGTTTGAGCGAACTGTTGTCACCCGTGAACGATGGACTCCTCCTGCTCGAGGTCCTGGTTTTCGGCGGCCGGGGTCTCCTCGGCACAGACGGCGGCCACACAGGCCAGCAGCGCCAGAGCGATCCACTGTGAGAAAAAGGAATAGAATGGGTCATTGCAAAGAACCAGATGGCACATGTCTTTACGAAGTCATTAACTTGTATAGCTAAAACAATTATAAATAACATGTAATGCACAACGTAAAATCACTCCATCAATTAAAATGGAATAAAGAATTGCCTAGAGGGCTGTGTTTGAATAGAAAACTTTATTCACAGATCGACAAAGCAATGATGACAATGGAAGGGCTACACCCTCGTCATGCTACCTTGTTCATGGTTGAGGCTGTTGGTAGCACTGTATGACCAGTCAGTGTCCGGTCGGTATTTATACGCGCCTTACGCATGTGACTGACCGTGACAGTGACACGCCACTTTCACACACTCCCTGTGACACCCCCCCCCCCCCCGTGGGGTCAGACCCCCCCCCCCTACCGGTCACCGGACGGTGATAAGGCTAGCGTGAACCGGAGGCGTGGCTGACTGGTCTGCCTCTCTGGTAACCGGCTCAGCGGCGGCTTCGCAAACTTTAACGCAATCACGGGGAGCTACGTAAGGGTGCAAAGAAAATTCGCTGGCAAATAATTCAGATTTTGCTGTTGAAGGAAATGCTGTTCACAGCTCAATTAGAGACCAAACGGCAGAATCCCCCCCCCCCCAAAAAAAAAAAACGTTAGGCGCCGTGGAAAGGCCAATACGAGCGATGGTTATGTAATATTTTCTAGAGAAAAGATCATTTTCACATTTTTCATGTGACTCGTCGAATTGTTTCCACCCAAGGATGATAGCTCCAATGTCATATTGGTGGTGTAGCGCTTTGGCGCAAGCCGGCCTCATAACGCGTCCGTTTTCCGTAATCTTCATAAAGAGCATCATGATTTAACCTCGCCGGACCTATTGGTTTTCTACATACGCGCCGGCCGAGGGGGGGGGGGGGGCGGTACGACCCCACTCGCCGTTTCGCCTCTGGTAGGGCTAGCGCGTCGCGAAAAAAACGAGCGTGTGCGCCGTTATGAGAGGCAGAGATTGGTACCCGATTTTAAGGTCCTAGGTCAACCGGTGACCTCTAAGGTCAGGTCAAGTGCCCCAAGGTACGGCTCAGTTTTTGGTGAATAGCTTCGCAAAAAACGGCCGCAGAGCGCCGATTTTGGCAGCATTGTGTTCGCCTTGCTCAGGCGCGTCGAATGATATACTATTTAATTAGGTCAGTTCAACTTGGGGTGTTGACCTCAGGTCAAGGTCAGGTCAGCGCCCCCAGATCACGAAGCTGGTCTAAAGAGGTCATGCCGCATTTCATTCGATTCGGCAGGTCTTCTTGAGTCTATTGGTGGCTTTCCCGACTCGCTAGCTCAATTTGATCGGGAGTTACTGACGAAAAACTAATATGACCTTGATGACGTCATAAATGACGTCACGCAAGGTCAACATTGCAAAAGTGACGCATCTAACCTTGCAAGGAGTGCATCAAATCACGATTCTGTGTGCTTGAGATAGTTGGAGATCGTTCCCGGCGCCAGAATAGCAGTTTTCATTTTTCCCCATTAACTTATAATGGGGAGGTCACGAAAATTACCTGACCTCATATGACCTTTAGGAAAAATCCGAGATAAGCAACTTGTGAGACTCGTAATGGATACTAGATCCTGCAAGTTTCATGTCCCTGTGAAAGCTCCTCTGGCAGTGAGGGCGTTGCGAAGTTGCGACATCTGAAGACCGTGCAGAGGTTCATTTATGACGTCATAGGTCAGTGACCTGACCTGACCCAAAAATGCGGTTCGTGTCAAAAGATCCGGCTTGAATCAAAGGTCAGGTATGCAAAGTTTCAGCTCTCTATCGCCAGCGTGTTTGGAGCTATCGCGAAAAAAAACTATGAGGGGGCGGCACCCGCCCCCCCTCGGCCGGCGAGGGTTAAGATAACAAAATGGATGATTTGACCAACGTTTTTTTTTCAGGCAGGACTTGCAAAAGCAAGTCCGGATCGGTCAGATTCAATCGCTAAGCTGAAAATAAGGTAACTGCGATATCCGTGTAGCTACGGGGTACCGCATAATAATGTAACACATCGCTTTTTAACATATAGGGTAGTTAGCTCAGGCATTTCCCGCAACCATGAGAAAAATAGGTGTCAAATGAAGCATCGCTTTCTGAAGATAGGTGTATTGGCAAGCAGTTTTGGCCTCATAAGTCATCGTCTTATACAAGTACAATTTCCGAGAGTATCCATTATCGGTTAATGGACGTGGCTTCGCACCGTGTAGTCTCCATTACTTTGAGAGCACATAATTCTCAGATGCTTTTTTTTTGCCGATCTGACATTATCATAACCTTCAGGCTGTGATAACTTCTGGATTGGACCACTGCAGTTTCTGGTTTGATCTAGCCTAGTATCTCAGCCCCTTTAGGTATCCCAGCATACACAAAATAACAGGGGTTTGCCCTCACCGGACCTATCGGTTTTTACATACGCCTCAGCCGAGGTGGGTACGTACCCCCTCGCCGTTTCACCCCTAAATGAGCTGCGGAAAAAACGAGCGTATGTGCTGCTAGGAGACGCAGCTATTGGTACCCGATTTGAAGGTCACATGTCAACCGGTGACCTCTGAGGTCAGATCAAGCTCCCCAGGGTGGGGATTCGGTTTTTAGCGAATAATTTCGCCAAAAATGGTCGCAGAGCCGTTAGTTTTGCCAAACTATTTATCATGCTCAGACGCGTTGAATGATATAATTCGTCTTTGGGCGAGAACACCTCAAGGTGTTCCGTGTTGAGCTCAGGTCATGGCCAGGTCAGAGCTACTAAGGTCACGAAGTTGATGGGAGAACGTCATGCCGCGTATCATTCGATACAGCATGTCTTCTTGGGCCCATTGGTGGCTGTCTCGACTCGTTGATCGAGAGTTATTGCCGATAAACTTCGATGACCTTAATGACGTAATTAATGACGTCACGCTAGGTCAACAGTGCAAATCTTAAACATCGGGGCCTGCAAGGAGTGCATGAAATCAAGCGTATGCGATTGAGGTAGTCTTATATCCTTTTCTACGGCAGTTCCAGTTTCATTTAACAGTTTCTATACATTTCCCACATTGACATATACCTACTGGTGAGGTGAGACCATGTGACCGACCTGACCTCAGATGACTCTTGGAGCAAATCCGAGTTTTAAGAACAACTGGTGAAGCATTGGGAAGTTACTAGGCTTTTCAGTTCCGTGCAAAAGTTGTCTGGCACTGAGAGCGTTGCACAAAGTTGCAACCGTGCCGTACCGTGCAGTAGGTACGTATGGCATAGGTAGGTCAGTGACCTGACTCTCCTGGAAATACGGTTGGTGTGACAAGATTGTGCTTGAATAAAAAGTCAGGTGTACTTACATTCAGCTCTCTGTCGCCATGGTGTTCCGAGCCATCGCGAAAAAAAAAATACTCTTGAGTATCAACTTCGGCTAGCGAGGGTTAGCTAGCGGAGAATGAGCCTACCTACCTACCTACGTACGGGCGGCGACCGGCCTTCACTAGCAGGTAAAGACGGCAGATGCTCTTCGTCGCGCTTAAGAAGCTAAACTTATGTTTTCGAACGCTTTGATAGCTGTTAAGCCGTTTATTGCGGGTATTTCTAGTTTCGTTGTCTTGGAACAGCTGGTGATTTCATGTCTCTCTTAGTTGCACATGCACATGCTACGTGTCATATCTAATAAGCACCGGACCCTTTGGCTTTACGTGGTGTGCTAAGTGTCCGCTTCCTGCTGGCCGAAATGATATTTTATTCTGAGCCTTTTTCCCTTCCGCGATTCTATACATAGTATTGAGGTAGAAACTATCGGGTCCCTGGTTCTTGCTCTTCATCAAGAAAGCTACCTCTAAATCTACATATTACTTGATTAAATATTCAAATTGGTGCAGAGAAAAATAACATTTGTTGTCATTTTTAATGTTGCTCTGCTTCCCCATAAATTAGGTAAAGCAATATATTATTGTATTTAATTTTTTTCTTTTTTGCCACGCCATGTCAGTCTTCCCACAAAACGCTGAGAAACTAATGCTCGTCAGATAAAAATTTAGCATTATCAAACTCACAAAAGTGCAATGTTTCGGAGGTATTTGTGCGCTCAAAACGTTCTCACAAATTTTGCTTCGTCAAGCCATATACCTAAAGCCGCTATTAGATTTGGCCTAAGAAACTACCAGATATCATGAAACATGATAAAGATTAAAACATGGGGAAAATTAACTTCATATAATATTTTGACCGAATCAATGAGAGGTTTAGCTTTGTAGAGAAATGCTTTTAATTGCGCTTTAACCCGGCCGGGCCCGGGGGGTAATCCCAACCACCGCAGCCCGGGGGGGGGGGCGTTTTTCGCCCCCCCCCCCCCCTGTGTAACTCCGTAAATAAGGGAGCTACGGAAACAAAAGCGATACCAAACGAAATGTCCTTACGAGACGATTCTAATGCACCTAAAATTTTTGACCTCAGGTCAATTTTCAAGGTCAGAGGTCAAGGTCAAAGGCCAAAACCGGCACATGTGTAGTGATCTCAAAGTAAGCTTTCTAGAGGACGGCAGGCTGCATCAAACCGGCAAAATTGGGTGTCAAACAAAAGAAGAGAATCTGAGAATTCTGAAAATGTGCTCCAAATCAAAGGTCAAGGTCAAGGTCACGCTCAAAATTGACCTCAAACTTGGCACTTTTTCGCACATCTTGCGTGCTAACTTCCAAGATGTTTTAAAATGTTTTGAGGCTTATCAGTTCCCTATTTGTGGTTCATCTTACGATACAAGGCTGCTCAAAGGTCAAGGTCACAGAAGAGTATCCCTGCTAGAGGCTATTTCACTGATTCAAGTTAGTAATAATAAATAAGACAATTTTGCCATCCGGAAGCTCTAAATGAAGGCTTAGAGGAGAATAGATGCCAGATTCGTGATCAGCGGGTACAAATCCATCATAAACGACCTTTCATGTGTCAAGGTCAACCAGAGGTCATTCGAGGTCACATGAGGTCAACATGAAACTTGACCTTTTCCGAACAAAATATATCATTCGACGCGGCTTGACAAAGCGAATGCGATGGTACCACTGCCGTAGCTCTAGGACCATTTTTGTCGAAGTTATTTGCGAAAAACTAAAACCACATTTCGGGGTCGTTGACCTGACCTCTGACCTCAGGTCACCAAAACTATTTTTCTATTTTTCTCTAGGTCAAACGCTACACAGCCGTGCTCGTAATTTGTCTTTATCTCTAAAACTCTATTTTTAGCAGCTATTTGAAGTTTGCGTCTGTGACGCCGAAGTTTGCCGTGCAGGGGTCTAGAAAAATGGATCTTGTGACGTCATCAAGGGGGCTAGGTCCAAATTTTTTACTTCAGAAGATGTCAAATTGATGGGAGAAAAGGTACCGAAAGTTTCGCCTTCCTATCCCTAAGCGTTCGGGAGTTATCGCAAATATTCGCCAGGGGGGGGGGGGCGAAAAACGCCCCCCCCGGGCCCGCGAGGGTTAAAGAGCAAATTTTGGGGGAGAATGTTGACAACTATATACTGTCGTCCTTATTAACTTCTTTCCGGGTTGCATTGCCTGAGAGTGGAAAGTATTTCGCTGTCATATTAAGCACGTCGTCTCCGTTACCGAATGTAATTGCTGTGGCGCTTCTTCCCGGATCCAGTTATGATACACAGTGGTTTTTTAGTAGTTCATTTATTTACGATGAGCTGTGCTGGTAATACTGTCAAATCATCACTAACGATGATTAAGCCCGTTTTCACGTAATAACAATCATCAAAACCTTGCATTGAATAGCTAACTCTAATTAAAGCTGTATAATCGATATAGCGAAAGCAGCACTCTGGCGTTGTGCAGGGTTCCTCCGTGTCGCAAATAATGTTCCTGAGGTCGGATCCTTGAACAGCATATGTGCGCCGCCGCCATCAGCCAACTTCAGATTTAGTGATATCCGTAGCCGCCATAGCTGAAAAAGTGTGCCATAAGTTAATAAAATTGGTCTGATGGTTTTACAGTGACGCTGAACGCCAAGAGGTGGTGACACAGGAAAATAAATTGATATGATTGAGCAAGAAATACGGAGCCGATGGCAAGGACAACTTCAGAATAAATACAAAGTATACGTTCTATTCTATGATATTATTATAATATTTGTGTGCGCTTTTTATTGAAATTATTCTGCTTGCTACTAATCATAAATTGTTTCGTCTTCTCTATTAATTATCTGATAGAAAAGCATGCAAAACAAATGTAAATTAAGCGAAGCTATCATAAAAGATATTAGAGCAGCAATTTCGGAATTGAAAACCCACGAGTCAATGTATTCCACTTTGTGCATTAACTTACCCATAGCCACCATAGCCGTAGCCACGACCATAGCCGTATCCGCCATAGCCTCCATAACCACGGCCGTAGCCGTATCCGCCATAGCCTCCAAGGCCGTAGCCGCCATAGCCGTAACCGCGGCCATATCCGTAACCGCCATAGCCTCCGTAACCACGGCCGTATCCGTAGCCTACAAGGCCGTAGCCGCCGTAGCCTCCGTAGCCGCGACCATAGCCGTACCCTCCGTAGCCACGACCATAGCCGTACCCTCCGTAACCACGGCCGTAGCCATAGCCTCCGTAGCCTCCAAGGCCGTAGCTGAAATGAAAATGAAGCGATGCCGTCATTTAGGCAGAAAAAAGCAGTGCAGCCGTAAGGGTAACAGAAAGTAGCAGGATTCATAGTTTAACTATTAAATACCCAGAAGTCACGTTATATCTTGCTGGTGCATTGTTCAAAAAGCGTCCTGTTTAAAGCTCTAATTTGCTTCAGCGTTCACGTGATCGGAGGAGTGATTCAATTTTTCATAAAAGTAAAAGCATACGAATGCATTACATTCAACTATATTTTAATTGCATAGGAAGTGATATCTCAACCTAGTGAAGATGGTGATGCAGCGTTGAATGCTATCATCGCAACACTGTTGTCTTACCCGTGAACGATGGACTCCTCCTGCTCGAGGTCCTGGTTTTCGGCGGCCGGGGTCTCCTCGGCACAGACGGCGGCCACACAGGCCAGCAGCGCCAGAGCGATCCACTGCAAGAAAAAGGAAAATGGTGCTATCTTTATAAACAAGTAGGATGACGTTCTTGGCACCAGCTGTATTATTAGCATTACTTCTCCGAATTAGAAAGAGTCAATACACCAGATGCTAAGAATTTTAGCTCCCTAATATATATCTCAAGAAAAAAGTTACATTACGGCAAAGTAACATCAGAATACCTCGGCAGTACCTAAATAGTAAACTGTATAAAATTGCACATACAGTGCATTTTATTAGTATACATTCCTTCAGCTTCATCTTGCTGCCTAGAATATATATCACACCACAACAACACTAGAAAATAAAATATTGGTTACAACTCCCCGTAAAGCCCATGAATGGACCGAAGCTGCCTTAGAAATGCTGCCAAGTGCCTACCTTGTTCATGGTTGAGGCTGTCTGTTCGACTGTATGCCCTAACAGGGTTCGGTGGGTATTTATACCAGTCTTGCGACGGTGACTGGCCCTGATGGTGACACGTCACATTCACAATCCCATGTGGGGGCGCACAGGGCGAGTGCAGGTTCCAGGCTCCAGGCTCGGCAAAGGCTCCAGATTAGTGTATACCTACGCTTGCGTGCATTCACACACCTAATAGAAGCTTCCGATGTGCTCATATTTATTCGGATGTTATGCGTAAATGACAAAGGCAGTTTGGTACCTATATACCCCTCTTAAATTAAATATACGCACTGACGTTCCTCCACCGCTAGGAATACAATAGCATATCGAAAGCATCGTAATTTATAACAGTTAAGCATTTGCCATTAACCCGCGCACCGACGGGGGTCTGCGCCAACTTCGCACCGGATGGAGAGAGTTTTTCTCGAATAACTTTCGAATTAGTCAAGATAAGAACAAACTAAGGGCAGCATCGTGATCCTCTCGTCAATCCGCATCGAATGATATATATGTTGACCTCGAAAGGTCAAGGTCAAAGGTTGACCTCAGGTCACGTGACCTCGAGGTCATCATGTATATCATTCGATGCGTCTTGACGAGCTGAACACAATGAGACCATCCACGCGTCTGTATCTTGTTCCTGTACGGAGTTATTGGCCAAAAACCTTTGGTGACCTTTGATGACGTCACATGACCTCACAGCTGCCCAACAGCAAAACAGACCTCAAGGTAGTGAAGGTTGATCGTATATGAAGTCATGTATGGTATATGGGGCCATTCCGACCCGTTTTAGTGGTAAAAACAGGGAGTTGATTTTTCCCCCATTGACTTATAATGGGGAGGTCGCGAAATTGACCTGACCTTAGGTCACCGATATCAAAATTCCGAGATATACAAATTGTAGCTACTAATGACCTAATAACATCCTGCGACTTTCAAAGGCCTCCGACATCTACTGTAGCTCTGGCACGGTGACAAAGTTGCAAAAAAGTGACTTGAGGTTGGGTCATTCAAAGTGACCTGGTGACCTGACCTTGAAAGGTAGGAGGTTCAAACTTGCACACCATGTGTAAAATTGATGAGGGAATAGTCATACCGAATTTCGCGGCGCTACGCGCCGTGGTTTTCCCGCTATTTGCGAAAAACCTCAGGGGGGCGGATATCCGCCCCCCCCCGTCGGTGCGCGGGTTAAGTGTACACTGTACAACAATGACTGATAATGATAATGATTATGATAATATTTTTTAATATAAGCGACTTTTACCCCGAGCGGGTTATGATATCACGTATTTTTTGCCATGAGCCTCACCATCCGTGTAAAATGAAAACAACGACTTTTGATGTTTGACTACTTCTGCGCACTGGACCATTTGGTCATAAATTTGCGATGTTTCCACTAGCTTTACCAGGGCACTGTAGCACTTGGAGCACGAAACGCAAGATATTTTTTTTTTCATTCGAGCAGCACATGCTAGCAAAGCTCACTCACTCTTTCAAAGCGCAATATGGTATACAAAATAAAGTAACAGAAAATACTTTGGCTAAAATTTCAGACAGCTGTTAGCTCTGGTCCATATTGTAGTTTTTTGGGAGGTCAACCGGAACCCCTCCCCGCCGTTCGACCCCTGAATAAGCTGGAGTTTCGAGGAAAAATAAGTGTATCGCTCGTGATGAGAGGAAGCGATGAGTGTCAATTCTAAGGTCATAGGCCACTGGCTGACCTTCCATCTCAGATCAATGGGCCAAATAACGGGAAAATCAGAGTCTTTTAATTCACGTGTTTCGTCACAGAATAAATGTTCCACTAGTTTACGTCCTCTCAACTTGTTGTCTAAAAAAAGACAAGTGGGAAGACTTTCCGCTCCCTAGCTCAGTTGATGTAGAATTGTAGAGCGTTGACTCCCGGTAGTGAGAGCCCAACTCATCCACTCCGGTGTTCCGATACTTGTTACTCCTGACGGGGATGGTCTGCGGTTGGTGGGAGCATCAGCAGCCAGTTGAGGTTGGCTGAGTGGGACAGGCCGTGTCCGGCTTTGATGAGCACGCTAAACTTCAGCACCCAAAAACTTCCGATGCCCGTAATTACTCGATCGGGCGATAGGAATCAGGGCCTGCCTAATAAGCTCAGTGCCTATCGTAGTATCGTGTGCTCCAACTCTGTCAGTCCATCCATTTATGCATTCAGCTAAATTGACAAAGAAAAATGAGGCTCCCCGGATAAACGCGGTGCTTTCAAAAACGACTTTTTGATGGTCATTCGAACACCGCTTTTTGCTTGTCGCTACGTCTCCCAGGAGCAAAAAAAAAAATGTCTTCTCATATTGAGGTATTAACTGCGATTGGACTACTCAGCCAGCACAGAGCGTGACAGTTCTTAAGTTTAAGTGGCTAACTTTCACTGTATATGTCAAGCTGCCCAACTATTTCTACTCTACCTGAACAGATAAAGCCATTGTCATGGTTCCAAAGTCAGCAGGATGTCAATGTGGTCCTCGATATTTCCCTTTCAAGTCTTATCCGCAGCTTATTTTCGCGCTAAAGAATAGACTGGCGCTCCCTAAACAAAACGTCAGCCATAAAGCACAGACGCAGTTTCCGACGGCCTTGTGATTTATCCACTGATATCACTCACAAATCCACCCGGTCTAGGGCTGACAGCGTCGGGCGTTACTCCTGTGTAAAAACTGCCAGCCAGTTACTCCAGGTGACCCGTTTGGTCAGCTGATTGGACCCGTTTGCTCGGCCGCCAATCACCAGACCTGACACACCCCCACCTGAGGTCAGCGGAGCCGGTTTGGTCGCGTACGGCTCGCAGGTGCCCGCCTGCGCCGGCCTCTGACCCTTGTTAGCAGAGGGTGTGTCACGCAAGGGGGTGTGACCACTGACCGCTGATCATTCGGGGGGGACACGCACGTCGGCTATATTTGACGCCCTATATTTCAGTCGCAGTTCTTTGCAGTAGCAAATTAACCGCTAGAGAGAATGGTGTGCCAGCATGACAGCGCACTGATATGCGATCGATGCGGACCGACATTTCCCAATGAGGCGGGAACAATGACCACTGTCACTTTACTGCCGCCAATGTCACTGGGCTGAGGCTTGGCATGTTTTGTTTAATGAGCAAAACATAGCTCTTATTACGAGCGAGCGAGCGCAGCGATCGAAGTGAGTCTTTTCAATATAACGGAAAAATCTCAGTATGAGCGGCCCGGCCCGGCCCGGCCCGGCCCGGCCCGGCCTGTAACGCTTTTGAGAGGCTTATGTATATCTCAGCAACCGCTGGACCGATTGGCCTGCGGTCTTTTTTGTTGGGTAGCCCCATCCCTTCTACCCCGTAATTGACTACTTTTGATGCATCTCAGTGACCGTCGTGGCACGTACCACGTGAAAAGTCAAGGGTGTTCAAGCTGTTTTGCAAAAGTAGTGATTTTGAGAGGCTCATATCTCAGCAGCCGCTTGGGCGATTGACTTGCGGTAATTTTTGTAGGGTAGCAGCATCCCTTCTACCCAAAATAGGATACTCTCGATGCATGTGGGTCACCCCCAGTGCACGTGCAAAATACAACAATAAGAGGTGTCAAATTTGTTCCCATTTCAGTAACTCGGTAATTACTGGGGTGATTTCGCTGAAACTTGGCATACAGGTAGGCACCCACCAGGCAATGCATTCCCATGTGTTGCGGTTAGGGTGCTACTGCACGTGCGCACGTGCAGGGGGCGTTTCCAGATCTCGAGAACGGCTGGGCCGATTGCGCTCAAATTTGGTACACGGTTGGGGACCAGTTAGTAGGGTGCCGTGCAAAAGCCATTTTGGACCCCGTTTGCACGTGCGCACGTGCAGAATGCCGCTTCCAGATCTCAGGAACGGCTGGGCCGATTGCGTTCAAATTTGGCACACCGCTAGCGACCAGTTAGAAGGGTGCTTTGCGCAAGCCCGTTGGAAGCACCCTCTTGCCCTTCCGCACGTGCAGGGCTCACTATCTCGCTCGCTCGTTCTTCGCCCAAAAGGCGTTTTACTGGTGGTAACACTGCCAATTACAGGATTGAACGCTAAGAGTATCCTTATCCAGCTTGTAGCTTTTTCTCTGGATGAGAGCATTGGCACAGATATTGAAGGTTGAAATGACGTTTGATTGGGGTTATTTGGCTACTTGTCCATGTGCACCTCATTTGTCCGTTGCCCGCTAAATGCTCTTTTTCTTCATTTTTTTGTTTGCCATGCTGCTACTTCTTTCTGTTTCTATTTTCCTACTGTCCTATGCAATAAATATTTACATGAGCAGTAAATCTTCTGACGTTTTGATCTTTTGAAATTGGTACAATAAACCTCTGAGCATAGGGTTTGTGTTTTACTTAGGTATTCTATGCGCGAAGAAAAAGACGAAGGATCCGCTCTTCTCTTCCTTTTTAAAAAGAACATTGTGTTGACCCAGTACGTCGACCAATCGGGCTTTGTTGTCCTAATCTGAGTAGCGCTCGGATAAACAGTTCCACTGATTGCCTCCTCCCCCCCCCCTCCCGACGCTCCCAACGCAGGAGTCCAAAGTGACTCACGTAGATATGACATCACGTCTTCATGAGCGTGTAAGTCGCGGCAAGAGACATAGGAGAGAGCAGAGACGTGGTACAGGGCATTACGCTCAGGTTTTCTTAAAAACCAAACATCCCCAGTGGTCATTCAAAGGTAAATACTAAGATATTGCATGCTATGTGTAGTTTTATGATATGCCTGCGAAACTAAACGAGCCTTCGTCCGCCTGACATAGGTACCGCCCATGCGTCGCGATTACCTTCTGCTATCAAGATCCGCGGTGAGGTGCCGCTATCTCACATACAGGGATTTGTGATAGTTTGTTCAGTTGGCGCTGTGATGCCGGCGCTCCCAGGCCTGCGGGGGCCGCCCACTCCACAGAGCTCTCTCTCGGAGGAGGGGGCACACAGAGCCGCCACTGGACAAGATGACGGGCACCGCGGACACCCCGTCCGGTCGACCAGGTACGTGATGACGTCAGAGGGGTCAGTTAAATATTGGTCTTTGTGGGGATGGATATGAGTGGGAGCATTCATATTGAGGCACGCAAGGGCGAAGAACTGCTTTCAGGCTGGGGGCACACCATAATAGAGATCAACCTAGGGTAGGTACCCCCAAATCTAATTTTGTCACCGGTTTTAGGCCACTTGTTTTTAATTCCATTGCTTTTTTCGACAAAAAAGAAAACATTTGCAAAAAAGTGCGGCATTCCGTCTCAAAGTTGTGGGGGGCACCGCCCCCACGGCCTCAGAGTTGGGGGGGGGGGGCAAGCTGCCGCCAATGCCCCCCCCCCCCCCGGTTCCCGCGCCTATGGAGACACGATTCCAATGTTTGGAGGACATACCTAGATACCTATACCTATGTGTGTGTGATTTTTGCAAGACCCTCCCTTTCGTGCTTCTTTTCCCTGTCACGCTGCGTGGGAGGGAGAGTTTTATTCCACAGCCCCTACCCCATTACCGTATACCGCAAAAATAATATTACGTGATACGAAGCACTGATGCATGTTACCTAATTGGCCCAAGTTAGACTTATAATGAAAAATAGTCAGAAGTAGCTAATTGCATCAGAAAAATTTGGACCCTACGCTGGGAGTCGCAGTAAAAAAAAAAAAAATACTTCGTAGGTATTACTCGCTGCACATGAACTCTGCATTCTGCAAATATGAATTTACGGTGGCAGATTATTTATTGCTGAATCACAAGGGTTGCATCCAATCTATGATTGTGGCAACGGGAAATCCATATAGGTATAGGTACAGATGGTGACGTTAGATAGAAAATACGTCAAAGTAGTTACAATGCATCGTAACCGTATTGTCATTTGTCATTTTAAGACGTGACGTGTTTCCCCCTGATTGTGGTCCACCTTGTGAGAGATTTGTCAGATAAGACGGGTGACATGCTTGAGGCAGGTAAGTAGGTACCTATTTGAAAATCTGCGACTTAAAGGGACCCTCCCACCTTAACATTAGATTTGAGTTGAGATAGCCAAAATGGGGTCCCTGGCTCACAATTACCGGTTTCGGCACTCACAACATCGAGAAATGCCTTAAATCGGAAATATTGAATTTCAAAATTGCAGCATTTTGATTCAGAGGGGCTAATGCTTAGGAATACCCCTCTGAATGTGTGACGTCAGCGCAGATATTTAACGATTTTTAAATGTTTGACTAAAACGTTTTGTAGCATGCGGTGGTATATGCTATTTGCGCGCAACATCTGCCGCAAACGCCGCACTTCTAAAATAAAGTCGCTAGAAACAGCGGAGATCCCAAAAAAGTAAACAAAAGTAAAAGTCTAATATCTTGAAAACCGGTGAATATTTTACGGTGAAATTTGGTAGATATTCGTTTTCGCTCTTTCTGAACCGAGCGACATCACTTTCATGCCAATTCATAAACTTTTTTGAAGGTGGGAGGGTCCCTTTAAGGTGACTGCCGACTGGGCTGCCCCAAACAGCAATTGAGCTGTCTCAAACGCTGCTTCGTTGAGCTATCATAATGAGTAGGTAGACCTACCTAGTGTTTGAAGGAGCAGAAGGCTCTCCTCCCATCCACCCAATGCTCTCGTCATACAGACGACATACTTCGTATATCAACGTCACAGTGCACGCATGCAAAAGGCTTCAGACTATCAAAGAACTTATTCTGTTTGCACACCAAGCACACTCCCATGTCTAAAAACAGAAATTTATAACTGACCATTTGCTTGCCGTTTCCATTTTCAGGACTGGCGGCCGGCATCGCATCCATCCAGCGGAGTGCAAACTCAGTTCTGACCCGCGTCTCACTGGGAAACATACACTCCAGCGCTACTGAACGAAAGACCGCGAATGTCGGCGGAGCCGCAGCCAGCACAATAGCAAAAACAGTGCTGGGCAGCTCGTTAGATTCAGACGTCAGTGATCCGCAAAATGCACCGTCCAGCGACACCATATCGCCGGGACATCCTCCTCCAGACGAAAACGATGACCAAGAGGACGGCCATGTCACCGTGATGTCCCCCTCCGTGCAGACGCAGTGCTGGAGTCCGATCTCTCTGCAACAGGCGTTGAAGACTGGCGACATCCAGCTGATCGTCAATATCCTGCAGAGTTCGTCGCTGACCGAGCTGAACGTTCACGACGCTGCTGGCCGGTCGCCACTGATGCTGGCCATCCATCACGACTCCCCTGAGGTGGTGACCCTGCTGTTGGAGCGAGGTGCGGACCCGAACGAGGACGGCCACGTGGGCGGCGCCTCGCCGCTGTACGCCGCTGTCGTCTGGCGCAGACTCGGCTGTGCGGAACGGCTCCTGCGCGGTGGAGCTCACGTCAACGCCTCGGGTGTTACGCGCACCGCGCTACACTACGCGTGCACTGCAGGAGACGAGCCGATGGTGGAGGTACTGCTGCGCTTCGGAGCAGACGCCAACCTCCTCGACGACAAGCGTCGTTCAGCACTGCATGCGGCGGCCGAGGCAGGTGCTGCCGGCTGTGTGCGTCTTCTGGTGCAGCATGGTGCGCGTGTGAACGTCACCGACCTCGAGGGCGTCACACCGCTGGACCTGGCGCACTGCACCGCATGTCAGCGCGACCTCGTCGACGTGGAGGCAGCGCTGAGTGCGGTGGGCTTTCGCCGCCTGGTGCGCCACAGTCCTGCAACGCTGATGCACATGCTCGATCTGGGCGTGCATCGCGCTGAGGGTGGCGGTGTTCAGGTGAGCTATAAGCCGTTCCGGGAGATCGGTGTCGAGTGTCCCTTCGAGGCCGCCCTGGTCAGCGAGGTACAGCGAATCGGTCGCTGGGAGCTAGTGCAACATCCCGCCGTGGAAGTGCTGCTGGAGCTCACCCGACAGGACAGCTACTTCAGGACCATCAGCTTCTCGCAGCTGTTCACCTGTATGCTGTTTGTGGTGACGCTCTTCACTGCAATGGTGGTCGAGGTGTACCATGAGGACGAGTGGGAGGTGTTCACCATTGTGCTGAAGGTGGTGTTGATTCTCTTTAATGTGCTGCGATTCTTCAAACACTTAGTAGAGCTGGCCTTCACCGGAAGGCAGTATTTTCGAGCGCTGAGAATCTGGCCAGGGGTAATGACGACCATGCTGACATTTGTAGCCGTGTTCCTGAAGGATGACTTGTCAAGGCGGATCACGTTTTCTGTCACGATCCTGATGGCCTTCGTCGAGCTGACCCTCGCTATTGAAGCGATTTCAGTGTGGAAAACGACCAGGGCGATCTCTTCGCTGCTTCACGTCACGCGCAGCATTGTTGAGTATTTGTTCATGTACTCTCCTCTTCTCATCGGGTTCTCCGTAGCTTTTTACGTGATATTCGGAAGCGAAGATCATAGTCAGGACAACATCTTCGGTGGTAAGCTGTTGGTGATGAATATGGCTGCTATGGCGCTGGGACAGGTGGACCCGGTCGAGGCTGAGCGCTTAGCTCCAAACTCATCCGTGGGGTTTGCAGTTGCGACGATCCTGTTCACTATCTTTGTCGTGATCGTGCCGATTGTGATGCTAAACCTGCTGCTCGCTTTGACAATCAGCGACACCGCAAAATTTCTCTCGAAGGGTGGCATAGAGTTCCTGAAGAACCTTGCAAGCACAATTGCGTGGAACCAGCACGCCATCTTTACGTTTGACATCTGGGTGCGGCGACTGAGTGGCCACCTTCCCCAGAGACTCTACGTCAGACTGGCTACGCTCTCCATGCGGCTGAAGTGGCGCAGCACGCTGCCGAGGCCCTCCTTCACCGAAAAGGACACTCCAGTGATCACCGTCGACACTGTCGCGCACGACGCGAGAACGATGCGAGCGCACGTCTCCGGCAGCAAGCGTCGCTTTAGCGTCAAGCGGCGCTTGCAACAGGGCCTCGGCAAGATCGTCGAGGCGACGGCGGAGGTCGACAGAAGTGGTAGCGTCGACACGCCATCACCACACCGACGTCGGCGTCACGCGGGCGGAGGCTACACCGACCTGAGCACCCAGCTGCGTGACCTCAGGGACGCGCTGGCCGAACAGCGTACCGCGCAGGAGGCCCTGAGTGAGGAACATCGCGCGCTTCACCTGCACCACTCTGAGCAGCGCCGGTGGATCCAGCAGGCGCTGGCCGAGCAGCAGCGCTGGACGCGGGAGGCGCTGGACGAGCTGCGCGGGGCGCTGGACGAGCTGCGGGAGGTCGCCGTCAACGCGGCCAGGGAGAGACAGGTCGGTGGGGAGGGCGGCGACCAGCAGCAGTCAGTGCGGGATGTCCTTGTGGAGCTGCCCAACACGCTGGAGAGGGTGGTGGCGGAACTCAGGCGGACAGTGGCGAACGCTAAGGCCGACGGCACAGTAACGCGGTTGTGATGTGTGCTTGATAGTTTTAGTGAATTTGTACGTATCGTACTTATCTGACTTCCTCACGGGCTAGAGGCGCCACTCCATTGCATATAGACTTTTAGCTTGAAAAGAAATGGCTAACATTTCATCTACTCACGGTGCTTGGACATGTTCATAGATTTTTCGTTCGTATAACTGCTCATAACGAAAACGTCTCTAATGAATTTAATTTTCCCTATCTCTACGTTTTTTTTTCTTCGCCTTCTCTTCGTGCGAAGACTAATTTTTAGATAACAACGTTTTGGCTAAGTTCATCTTTCACTCACGCTTTTTACATGTTGTGTTTAAGTATGTGTAAGGATGTTCATATTTTGACGTCCTGTTTTGAGATTGCCTGTATTAAAGTCATTACAATATATGCAATGTTTTCGCTCACTAAGGGTCAATGACGTAGTCATGAACAATTTTTGAAGAAATCGCTTAAAGAAATACAATGTGATTAACAAATAATGATAAAAAGTTAGCCCCACGGGAGGCTTATAATCTAAATCTTGATACACAAACAGCACCGTTAGAATGAAAAGTCTTGGACATTTGATATCACACAAGCGGAAATCACCTCGTTCGTCCACAGGAGGTGCTCGAAGTGCCCTCCCTTTCCCGCGAGACAGAGCTCGGCGATGACCTTCGCTCCGTGCACCTTCTGACATAGAATCAGCTTCTGTGGATTCGCCGGTGACCGGAGACTGCATTCTTCCTGTAGGTGCTTTCTGAAGCACAAACCACATCTCCTCACTCCAGCTCACTTGTTCGAAAAATCCTTCCGCAAAACTGGACCAGGAGGTGTACGTTTTCATCCTTGACTCACGCCAGGCTGTCAGCGGAGAGGACGGTCGTTAGGATCGGACGGTATGGTTTCCAGTACAGTTTCTTGCGAATATTTGTCCATACATTTCAAAAGGACATTCCCAGGTCTTCTGGGCCCTTGCGAAAGTGAATATTGGGCTGATTTTTTAAGAACTGTTTGACTCCAGCTTTAACCTGCGCCCTAGTGGGCCCCTCAGCCAACTTCGCCATGGCGGTCGTATTTAGCCACCCCAGGTTAGCTCGGAAAGCGTGAGGGCTCGAAAGACGCAAAAAATGCCTAGATAGCTCGCTATAAGACATTTCAGAATAACGCAAAGGTCATTTTCTATCAGGTCATCGCTGAGGTCACTGCAGGAAGTAAGTATCACGGGACTGGGCCGGGGCGGGGCGCTTATCCTGACATTTTTTTCTAAACCACAGATAAACTCGCCCACTCGCTGCCCTCGATCGATCGTTAAACATTCTTTATGTTTCTCTGTACCTACTCTATCCCACTCACAAATGGGTGTCGTGTGGGCAATAATGATGGTTCAAGCCGGTGTGCAGCACACAACGGAGCGCTTGGGCAGCAGCGGTGACATTTACACCGTGGAGTTACACCGGGTCTATAGATCATGGCATGCAGCGATTTGTTATGTTGATGAGCATTTCGGCACAGAAAAGCACCTCGCGAGGACCAAACATCCGCATGGTTGCTGCCAACACATCTGTGATATTGACTGTCTGGAACTAAACTCGCGTGTTGGGTTGAACTTTTCGTGGCGTCGAAAATACAGAACGAGGTGCCCTGGAGGAGACCCTCGTGATGATGCGTCATTTGCTGGGGTAATAACCGGGGTTGTCAGGTCATTGGAGAACCGGCCGAGCCCTTTGTAAGAATTTGGTACCAAGTTCTCTGTTGCGAGTATGTGAAGCGCACGCCGGACGTTGATATATTACTTTTATCATCACAAAAAGTTATATGGTAGTTCACTTTAAGGATATGCATTATGCATGTTGTATGTTTGTATGTAAGTAAATAATTTGTAAGTAAACGCATTTACATTCTGCAATCCGTGCAACTTGCAAATTAGGGAGGCATGTCCGACAACTTCTGCTACTCAGGGGTCCTAGCTATTCGTCAGTTGTCAAAGACCCAAAGATAATCTGGCTGTTGTCTTACTTGAATAGTTTCGTGTTTGCCAACACATTTTGTTCATTTCCTGTAATTACTCAGCAGCCTATGAAACGCAGTCAGTCGTGCTGTACCAAAACGTCTGAGTACCGTAAATACCAGTAGGTCACGAGAGGGTCATAAACTCTGTGCACCTTCCGGCGGGATATGACCACCGGAATGCCGTCTTTTCCGGCACACATTCGGACAGCTCCACAACAAACACAACCTCCAAAGAATGTGGTGTCTTACCTGACGTGCTTTCGACATCAGCATTAAAAGCAAAACGGCTAGTTTATTTCCACTAGCCATGAAGTATAGGAACATAGGCATGTTTTACTCTTTTACAGAGGATGATTTCATTGAGGAATCTAATGGCTATCTCTGATTTTGTACAGATCAGTAAAATATTCAGGGTTTTGTGTTTGTTTAAATTTTCAAATAAACAGACGACAACAAACTTCACGAACAAATCTGTTCGCGAACAAGTGATGTCATCGGCCAACTTTTGCTAAACAAACAACGAACAGTTCGTGAACGTTCATGAACTGTTCGCGAACACGGCAAAGAGGGGGTAGATAAGACCCTCTCTTAAGCCCTTTCGCTCCTAATTGAGATAGTAGTAACCTCGCGGAAAAAGCGAGCGCGTGCGTCATTACGAGGCACAGCGACTGGTATCCGATTTTAAGGTCTTCGACCAACCGGTGAACCCTGAGGTCAGGTCAAGTGTCATAGAGTAGGGGTTTGTTTTGGTAAATAACTTCGCCACAAATGGGGCAGAGCCGCGAATATGGCACCATCGTGCTCGCCTTGGCCAGATGAGTCGAATGATATACTTTTTGCTTGGGTTAGGTCACCTTAGGACGTTAACCTCAGGTCAAGGTCAGGACTCAGGTCAAAACAACTCGGGTCACAAGCCGCTTGGATGATGTCATGTTGCACATCATTCGATGTGGCGGTTCTTTCTGAGTAAATTGATGGATCAACCGACTCACTAGCTCAATTTGATCGGGAGTTAGTTTTCTGAATTCTCGAATATTTTTGGAAAAGCTGGGATCATAAGACAGGTGGCATCTTTTAACTTGGTAATACCTACCTACCAACTAAGAAGCCATTTTCATTTACCTACTGATCATTGATAAGGGGCAAAGGCGATTTTCATTTGAAACTGTTGACATCTCAGGGACGAATAGACGTAGCAAAACACAAAGAAACGTAACGGCTGCATCCCCTTACAACCACAGAATAGGTATATATTTATTTCATGGCCTAGAAATGCACGCGCTGATGGCGCACCCCTGGACCATAGGCGGCGGAACGGGGAGGGCACCGGGGCACCGTGCCCTCCTTTGATTTTGGCATTTTAACATTAGCCCTATGGGCGTTGCATGGAAAGAATGGGACCAAAAGTCGGCAGTGCCCCCCCCCCCCCTTATTTGAAGGTGTTCCGCCGCTACTGCCCTGGGGCTGGACCAATCAAATCACTCCCAAATTTTAATACAGAGGTCGCTTCAACCCACAGATTCGACATGGCAAATTTCACGCCGATAAGCGGCGACGTTCCGGCGCATTGAGACACATGAGGCATGACAGTCGGACGGACAACTTATAAATCATAATTCCAGCGCCGTGTGGATGGGCTGCACCCAGCCAGTGCAGCCGCGTCCATAGCCAGTCGTCAAGGTAACCGCCGTGTACTGCCCCCCGGGCAGCAGTCGTACACCGTCTGAGTCGGGTGCACTCGACCGTCGACTCGGGCCCGAGCTGCAGCAGTCTGTGCCATCTCAACTCCCTGTGCAGACTTCCGTCCGGGACGGTGGGTATTGATGAAGTGCGACTTGACACAGTACCAGGTGGAGGGATATCAAGGGATATAGGGATATGTATTGCTCTCAGCAGTTGTCAGTGGTCACTGCTGCTGCAACTGACTCGGGGATGGGATTTTTTTTTAGTCACAAACGCTCTCCCTCTCTCTCTCTCTCTCTCTCTCTCTCTCTCTCTCTCTCTCTCTCTCTCTCGCTTATTTCTTTATTTCTTTTTTAGTATTTCATTTTCATTTGTTCATTGATATTTTTATTTTCATTTCAATATTTAAATGTTAAGTTATTAATTTCCTTGCCGGCAAGAGCGGTTATTACACCGATAGAGTTCATTCTGCAGTTTGTTATTGCTGGCCCGTCGCTACCGTTTTTTTTTTTTAGGTTGTCTTGGAAACAGACCACCTAACGAAAAGTATTGTTGAAACGTCCCACTAGCATGGTGCGGTTGGAATAACCGAATCCAAAATAAGTCAACTGGGTTTATCTATCTGCATAGTTGCAAATATTCCACTCCGGATCAAAAACCGCAAACCAATGGGGGGGGGGGGCTGCTTAAACGGCCACCCGTTGTGGTTTTTCTCAGCTATCTAAAAAACGGCCGCGAAGTTTGACTCGCCGTTTTCAATACCTTTCTAGACAGCGCATCTCCTGCAAAAATTAGTTCCAAGGCTGTCTAAGGTCGTGAACCTGAGCAACTAGCAGCCCTGTTCGTCGCTAATAGCGCTATCCGCGAGAGACCATCCAGACAAGATCACTTCTTCCATCTTCCCCGTCCACGGCTGGAAACGGGCAAGCGGCGGTTTGGCTATCGAGCTGCAGCTCTGCTGAACAGCCTGCCACCTCACCTGTCGCAGCTGCCTCCCGCCCGCTTCGCCCGCGCTGTTAAAGCCGCAATCGTGGACGATGAATCAGCACATCGTCGCTGACCAATAGGATAGGGGTGGGTAAAAGCGATGAGGCTGTCCTGAGAGTGTTTTGTCCTAGTTTTGACGTGAGTGAATGTGCAACTGTTTTGAATGATTAGATTAGCAACCGCGGATACGGATTCTGAGCAGTAATCGCCACGCACTTTGTATGTGGATCGCTCTTAAATGTAAATACAAATACAAATACAAATACAAATACAAATGAGTTGTAGAGGTCAAACTGAGTCAAACTTTCGTCCATTTACGGTCTAAAAGCCTGTCCACGGAAAAGAAAATAGTAGAAAATCAGCTTATCAATCTTGAAACTCCAAATCGAACCATGTCTATAAATGCATGGAAAAGAAAAGCTGACTCGATACTTCCAAATTATAAGAATATCAAAATATTTTTAGAGACCAATTTAATGTCCCATATTCACCTGTATCCCGACGTTCGAGAGTGTCAAGTAGCTCAAACGAAAGGATAGTTCAATGTTCTCCGACATTTTTTACGTTCTTTGAAACAATTACCCCAACAAAAAAAAAACACCTAAAAATCACAATTTTGTGTTTCAAGTCTCAAGACATAAATTTTATCATATTTTAGAAACATCGAGTTACGGGGCCGTATTCACGTCGACTTCGTAAGTCGATTTTCTTTCGTAAGTATAATTTGGTATTCACGTCGACACTTAAGTGTCGACGTGAATACCAAATTATACTTACGAAAGAAAATCGACTTACGAAGTCGACGTGAATACGGCCCCGTAACTCGATGTTTCTAAAATATGATAAAATTTATGTCTTGAGACTTGAAACACAAAATTGTGATTTTTAGGTGTTTTTTTTTTTGTTGGGGTAATTGTTTCAAAGAACGTAAAAAATGTCGGAGAACATTGAACTATCCTTTCGTTTGAGCTACTTGACACTCTCGAACGTCGGGATACAGGTGAATATGGGACATTAAATTGGTCTCTAAAAATATTTTGATATTCTTATAATTTGGAAGTATCGAGTCAGCTTTTCTTTTCCATGCATTTATAGACATGGTTCGATTTGGAGTTTCAAGATTGATAAGCTGATTTTCTACGATTTTCTTTTCCGTGAACTGAACCTGAGCTTTTTTCGACCGTAACTCGACGAAAACGGCCTCAGTTTAATCGCTACAACCCATTACCTCAGACAACCTTGGACCTAATTTTTGCAGGAGATGCGCGGCATTGCCGTCCAGAAAGGTATTGAAAACGGTAAGTCAAAGTTCGCAGCCGTTTTTTTTAGATACGAGTACCTGCGAAAAACCACAGGGTCTCTAACAGCTTTTTTACGATAAATTTAGCTAGAAACCTGTCAGAACGACAAAAACGCCTTAGTTGCGTTCAGCTCAACGACGCAAGTTGGCTGACATGCAGCATGACCTTTTCCGTGACCTTGAACTGAGGTCAAATTTTGAAGCTGACCTTTTCATGTCAAGCTATAGGTTTCATTTCATTTAAACTCCCCCCCCCCCAAAAAAAAACTTCACTTACCCTGTATCTATGTTCTCGGTTCAGGCAGCGCGACGAGTGGCGCATCCTGTCATCCGTGCCGCCTGGACCTAACTCCGTTCCAGGTGCGGCATGCCCAGTCTATGGGTGTACCTGCTGTTGCTGCTGCTGGTGACGGCAGTGGCGGTGCCGCCGACCCTGTCGTCGCCAGTACCGGCGGCACGCGTCTGGATGCTCGCCTGGTCCGACCACAAGATGACCGTGCTGGCCTCGGTGCCGGCCTCCTCGAGGACCGAGTGCGGCGTCCGCTGCGCCCGCCGCCAGGGCTGCGCGGCCGCCTCCTTCGACCCAAGCAGCGCGTCTCTGCCGTGTCGCCTGCTGGCCTGCCAGACCGGCTGGGTGCCCCTGGAGGCCAACTGCTACGCGCTGTTCTCCAACATCCTCTCATGGACGGACGCCAGTGTGGCGTGCGTCAACGCCGCCGGGGGTCACCTCGTCTCCATCCACTCCGAGGTGGAGAACCTGTTCGTGGACCTGCTGGCCGACCTGCACGGCGTGCCACGACTTCACCTGGGCCTCATCAACGACGGCAGCGGCCAGCATTGGGTGGACGGGTCTCCGCTCGATTTCACCAAGTGGTCCGCCGGGGAGGGATCCGACGTACCCGGCGCAGAGAATGGCTTCCTGCCGGTGACGGCATCCCTGCTGGCGGCGGAAGGCACTGCCTGGGCCGACAACAGTGCCGGTGACGCCTACCACTTCATGTGCAAGCGGGAGAGGGTGCTGCCGGCCGCCTAAACAGGCTGAACACGCTCCCGCTGCTGCAGAAGAAGGGTGTGCTCATTGCTCGTGGGATGCCGTCCGTGGGGATTTCATGGGAGCGTTTTTTCCCCATAGCAGAAGGGACTGGTGGAAGGAAGAGTTGAAGCATCAAGACACCGTCGAGCAGTGTGTGATGGTTAGATATATCAGGCAGCGACATGAATTGATACTGATAGGTGATTGTGCTGTTTTCAAGTGATCTGAATAATGAGCTATCCAAAGGAAATGAGTCTTATACGAACCGCGCTAGGTCGCACTGGCATGTTCCATGTGCCAGGCGGGCGAGTGAAATCCTTGCGTAACGGCTTCCTATCGCGGTTACCGGAAACATGCAACGCGCTTCTAAAAAAAGCGTCAGGGACTGATTTCTTTTACTCACCATCTTCTTTTAGATCTCAGGTTTTACATAACCCTATTCCTGGCGGGGGGGCCTCAGGAGCCCCCCCCCCCTGAGGTTTTTTGGTTATATCTCCCAAACGCGTTGAGCTAGGAAGCTCAAATTTTCTGACTTTTCCTAAAAGGCTTCTACGCAACATGTCTGAAAAATTTTGAGTTGATCTGACCTCAGGTCAGGTCACCAGAGGCGGTTTGGTGACCCTACCTCAGAAAAGTTTGCAATCACGCCAGAGCTAGAGTTTTTGACCGATCAATTTCTTCTCTTCAGGGTTTAGTTAGGGTACCAGTATGTGCAATTTGTATATCTCGGAATTTTGATATCGGTGACCTAAGGTCAGGTCAATTTCGCGACCTCCCCATTATAAGTCAATGGGGGAAAAATCAACTCCCTGTTTTTACCACTAAAACGGGTCGGAATGGCCCCATATACCATAAATGACTTCATATACGATCAACCTTCACTACCTTGAGGTCTGTTTTGCTGTTGGGCAGCTGTGAGGTCATGTGACGTCATCAAAGGTCACCAAAGGTTTTTGGCCAATAACTCCGTACAGGAACAAGATACAGACGCGTGGATGGTCTCATTGTGTTCAGCTCGTCAAGACGCATCGAATGATATACATGATGACCTCGAGGTCACGTGACCTGAGGTCAACCTTTGACCTTGACCTTTCGAGGTCAACATATATATCATTCGATGCGGATTGACGAGAGGATCACGATGATGCCCTTAGTTTGTTCCTATCTTGACTAATTCGAAAGTTATTCGAGAAAAAACTCTCTCCATATCTAGTGCCGCTATTTTGACTTTTTCGACCCCTGTGACGTCATCTTTGACCTGACCTGAAAATGACCTTCGTAAAAATTGTAGATCTTGGCCGTGCGTATCCGATGCCGTTTACCGCTTGTCGCTATCTTGCTTCGTTCTCGAGATCTCAGGGGGGGGGGCCGAATCGGCCCCCCCCCCGCCAGTTTCTTGTCCCGGCGGAGCCCGCCAGGAATAGGGTTAAGCTCGCAAACAGTGAGGGTTCCTACTGATGTCCATGGTTGGGGCAGCGGTGCTATCTACCATATTCTTAAAGGGACTATCCCACCTTTAACATGGGGTTTGAGTTGAGATAGCCAAGTTTGCGGCGAGGTTCAGAAACCACTATCTATCTAGGTTGCAACCCCCGCGGCCTCTTGGTGTTGAAGAAATTCGTTCCCTTCATTTGAAAATGGGCCTTGTACATTTAGTACAAGGCCCTATCTTCAACATGGAGCGACCGTTAGTGTGACGTCACCTCGTTTAGTCATTCTGGTTTAAATGGGTTTGTTCGTTGAAAAATCGCTTAAAACTTGGTCTGAACTTTGTTGTGGTGCCTACAGAGTAAAAATAATCAGCTTTATGACAGTAATGTGGCCTGGGGAAGGAGGTAATTTTGGGCTGTGACGTCACATATTTGAAAGTTTGTGTTTGGAATATGGGAAGTCTAAGATGTTTAATGAAAAATAAATGCCAGAACCGTGTTCCTGGTCATCCAATCTATAAAGTTGGGCACAATTTAACTGGTTTTAACAACATTTTAGAAGGTGGGATAGTCCCTTTGCGCCCCACTGGGGTCTGCGTATAACACGCCCTACTGGGGGGGGGGCTATTCATAGCCCCCCTCCTAACTCCGAAACTACTGGGCCGATCGTCAAAATTCAAACGGCGTCTAATAGCCCCGGAAAAAAACTGTCGAGCGAAACCTAATTTCATTGACCTCGAGGTCACCGATGACGTCACAGGTCAGGTCAAAGTAAAGATTATTAGCATTTTGGCTTCTTCACGTTTTGGGCTCTGGCCGCCGTCTTACAAGTCAGATCAGGCTCATTTTTGGTTCAAACACTCGTGAACAGATGCTCTAGATACTCTGAGGGTACCAAACTTGTACTTTGATTTTCAGGTCAAGGTCAGGTCATCACAGGTCACGAAAATATTATATCATCCGTCGGTCACGTGACACATGTTTTATGGTCCATTTAGGCCAAAAATTTCGAATTTGATGTCGTCTGTGTCATTTGAGGTCATTTTGAGTCAAGTTTAGCTTAGGTCAGGTCACTTTCAGGTCCAAAAAGGTCAAATGCCGATTTCAGCGAGTTGGAGGCGCAGTATCAGCGTGTCTCTATGACCTACCCGGGCTCGAAGGTGTTCATCTGCGGCGATTTAAACTGTTGTTGGCTCAAACCGGACTCCACCCCATCGAAACGCGCTCTGTGTGAGTTTATCTCTGACAATGTCCTAACTCAATGTGTCAGTTCACCGACATATTTTACCGGCTCCTCACTCGATGTTTTTATTACCAACTGTCCTAACGTCGTAAAAGCTTGTTTTACTAAGGCGTGCCATTTTAGTACTCATAAGATCGTTCGCACAATAGTTGACATGCCTCGCTTTAAATTGCCGAGTAGGGGAAGGTGGGGTAAGACGGCCCAGCGGGGCAAGACGGACCACCAGCCCTCCCGGCTGAACCGCTGCTGGTATCTACTGCTTTATGCTCTCACTATGTTTGTTTTCCTTCGTAACAATGGCCACCTTGAGCTCATGCTGCTAGGATGCATAGCTTTTGAGTTATTGAGAAAAATGTTGTTTTTCGTCAAACCGATCTAATATAAGAGGTCTACGGGTGATTCAATTACGGCGCCTTTCTTGCATGATTAGTTTCTATTTTGCACTTAACTGTGAAGAACAAAGTTATAAACTTAGTTATAGTCACACTTTAGGAAAGGCAAGGTTTTGCAATGTTGGGCTATTTGGCATATACGTCATGATAATGACAGAATTTAGATTTGGGGCAAGACGGACCACTGTGGTCCATCTTACCCTGCTGTGGTCCATTGTACCCTGCATATGGAAAGCTCTTTTCCAAAACATTGACACAAGTTTAAGTAAGCTAATTTTTCAGGAAGGAGTCTTTGTTGCATGTGAGCCATGCATGCAAGTGCTCAGTTAGCATGTATTCATGTTAAACGACAAGCAACACACATGTTCCCAGCTTTTAGCTGCACTTCCATCACACATGAGTAAAGAATAAAGGCTCATTTTGTTATTTTACCATTCTGGTTACTTTTTCTTACAAGAGTACAGAACAGAAGTGTAACACACATGAACGGATAGCAGGCACTGCTGGGTGGTCCGTCTTACCCCACGTTTTTTCTTGTCTGAGTTTTTGACATGTCCCTCTTTAAGAGCATCCACCACCTAGATGTCTTTAATTTGAAATTTAGTCTTTACACATATCAACAGAGGAAGGATTGAGCATTCCGAAGACTATAAATAATATGAATTACGAGAGCAGTGTAGCAAGATATGCGGCCTCAAACCTTAGCTGGTCCGTCTTACCCCACCTTCCCCTACCAGGGTTCGTACGCGCTGCCTTCGTCGTGTGAATGTGGAACTTTTACACACTGATCTCGCTCAGGCCGACTGGAGTGCTGTTTTTAACGCCACTTCGGTATCAGAGAAGTGGGATAGCTTTCTTGCGGCGTTTCTACCTGTGGTGGATGCCCACGCCCCTATTAGGTCTGTTCGGGCCCGGAACCCTAATGCTCCCCCAGTGTCAGACTCAACTAAAGCTTTGATGAGTCGCCGTCGGGGGGCGCTGGCGGTGTACGGACACGGGTCCACCGAGTACCGTGACGCGAACCGAGCCGTGCGCGCTGCCATCAGGCGGGACAGCCGTAATGATGTTGAGCGACGCATCAAGGAGGCCGGGCGTAGCTCAATGTGGAAAGTGATCAGGTCTTTTGTTTCTGACAAGCGACAACAGGGAACGATGCCCACGATCTCAGCGGATGACTTGAACACCTATTTTGTTAGCGTCGGACCGCGCGTGACTGGGGAGATCGCCGGGCTCGGTGACGTGCCGGAAGTAGCCTGCCGCCTGCCGCGCGTCGGAGCCTGCGCGCTCCAGCTGTCCCCGCTCTCACTAGGCGAACTGCGAGCCATCGTTTTTGGCCTCAGCAGCTCGTCGGCCTGTGGAGATGATGGGATCAGCATCCACATGTTTCGCATGTCCTTCGACTCTATTGGTGAGGTGATTTTGCACTTGGTCAACTCCAGCATCACCCAATCCGACGTTCCTGCATCCTGGAAACACTCACTAGTACACCCAATCCTCAAATCCGGTGATCCATCCGATCCGTCCAACTTCCGTCCCATCTCAATTGTCCCAGTCATTTCTAAAATCCTCGAAAGAGCCGTCCACCAGCAGCTCTATGCGTATCTATCCGAAAACCACCTCCTTTCCCCAAACCAGCATGGTTTCCGTCCCCGTCACTCCACCGAAACCGCGCTAACATCCGTATCTGACCATATCCTCTCCTCGTTCGACCATGGAGAAGTGTCCCTTCTCTGCCTGCTGGACTTGACCAAGTGCTTTGATGTGATAGACCACTCAAGACTCCTTTCAAAATTACAGGCTCACGGCATTCATACGTCCTGGTTTTCAGCCTACCTTAGAGGTCATACTCAAAGCGTCAGCTTCACTGGCGCACGGGGGGAGGTTAAAACATCCCGTCCGCTGCCCAACAACATCGGCGTGTTTCAAGGTTCGGCCTTAGGGCCTCTTTTATACTGTGTGTTTGCCAACGATCTACCTCAATTTGCACAGGACGCATTTGTAGTTCAGTATGCGGACGACACTCAAATTTTAGTCAGTGGTAAAAAATCTCAACTTTACACAGTCGTCGCCCGTATGGAAAACGTTCTTAGCTCACTCGACATCTGGTTCCGCTCGAACGGGCTCAAAGTTAACGCCACTAAAACACAGCTGATGTTGTTGGGCAGCCCCCAAAATT